GATTGTATATTTTGTTAGTTTTAATTATCAGCTGCAATTTAAAAAAAAACTGTATTGTAATTGATTTCCGAAAAAGGAGTACCTTAAAATGAAGCAAAAAATGTTTTTGTGGTGCATCGCAGAGCTACCCCCCCGCCACCTTCATTACTACACTAATACTAGAATGGCCCGTAACCTATGCAATTCCACCTGGCCCGCCCCTGACTAGAAACCAATTTCGAAAGAAAATTCAAAGGGCTGTAACTTTTGAACTAGAAGCCCAATCTTGGAACTGTTTGAAATTATGGATTCTACAGGCCACATTCTATAAGAAAATTTTTTTCCGGGTCGATCTGAGATAATTTTTTTTTCGGGGCTCAAAAAAAGGTAGTGTATAACCTTCCTTTTTTACCAAAAATCGACTGCACCAAAATTTCTCGGGAAAACACTTTTTCTTATTAATTTGGGTGCGTAGAATCTAAATCAATTCGTACTTTTTCGATCGGACTTCTTAATCAAAAGTTATGGACTAGAAACAGGGGCGGACTGGCCCGCGGAGGCGGGTGGCGATTGCCACCTGGCCTGTACGTCATAATGGCCCCTTGGAAATTTATAAGTATATGTGCTGTATCTAGTTTCTTGCACTATTAATAAATTATTAACAAGTGTCTCTAATTGGAGTTGATGTTAGGTTGTTAAAAAATTAAAAAATTCTGTTTTAATTGAAGTGTTTTACAATGAATTTACCATTTTTTGTCGTAGTATGAAAGTGCTGAAATACAATGATAGGCGACGCGCCTCGTTTGGATTGTATATTTTGTTACTTTTAATTGTCAGCTGCAATTTAAAAAAAAAACTGTATTGTGATTGATTTCCGAAAAAGGAGTATGTACTAAAATGAAGCAAAAAAATGTTTTTGTGGTGCACCGCAGAGCTCCCACCCGCCAACTTCATTACTACACTAATACTTTAATGGCCCGTAACCTATGCAATTCCACCTGGCCCGTAAGTACCCAGTCCGCCCCTGTTCAAAACCTCCAGCGCTTGATGGAAATTGGATTCAGTAGGAATTACGTTTCTTTCCTCTGGTTACAATAAATTGCTTAATTTCAATGTTTAAATAAATTTATGTACCTATTTGGAATTTTTCTGCGAGTTATGCGTTTTTTTTACTGAAGGAGTACAGTATCTGTTTCTGAAACTACTTTCGTCTCTAAAAAGAGTGAGGAAAATGTGATTTTCCTCTCTAGTGAGGAAAGTAAAAAACAATTGCCGAATTAATCTTTATCATGACATTTAAAATTGAAACATACCCCGATCTAGATTGCTATGTGTTATACTTCATTATTGCATACGATAATTTTTCAATTTTGATTGTAGTTTCAAAAAAAATGATGTGTAAAACTTGAGAAGAAAGTGTTTTTCAACTCTCTCCTTCAATTGACAACTCGAACTCGAGTTGAAAAACTCCACTTTCTTCTCTAGTTGTACAAATAACTATTTCAAATTTTCATTACAAATTATTGACAAGTAATGAGATATCAGTGTAAACTATTTTTACCTGAGCTAGCTGGAAGTGAAAGTCCAAAAAGGTAAGTTCCAAAAGTACTTCAACCAGAGGAAGAAATTACAAGAAGAATCATACCTTTTCAAGATACCAATAGAAATCGGCCCCTCTCCAAGGGTCAGAATTACCGAAGAGTCCTTTAATTTGTACCTGACCGGTATAAAATGGCGTCCGCGTGAGGACTGCTACATACCTTAAACGATTTGATGAATTCAACACATTTGAATAACGGAATGAAACTTTTGAACACTAAGTATAATTGCCGACATTTTTTTTCCAGTCTGATCATATTTCTGTTCAGCTACATTCTAGAAGTAAACGCTACATTATGCCCAATTTGAAAACTGGGGCGGGGGGAGGGATAGTGTGGAATGTTGTATTTGGATTAACTGAAAAATGGGGGAGCGCAAACGACCACAGAAAAACATTTCAAAATTGAAAAATGCGGGCGGGGGGGGGGGAGGGGGGGGAAGTTTTTATTTGGAATAACTGAAAAATGGTGGGAATGCAAACGAAGGTATTCGGGGTGCAAAGGATCACTAGGTCAAATTTGAAAATTGGGAGACAGTATGGAATTTTGTATTTGGAATATATCGGGGCGCAAACCAAAAGCAAACGATCACTACAAAAAAAGGTTTTTTTAACACTGAGAAGCGGGGGGGGGGGTTATGGACTTTTGCATGGAACAATGAATGGTGCAAATGAAGTCGCTCTGTGAAAGAATAATTATTTGTAAAATTGAGGGTGCAGTTATGAATGTGTCCCCCCCCCTCCATTTGATTTTATCGTAATTTTGAAACCGGCCGCGTTGCGAAAAACACAACAATGCAATCGTGTGCAAACAAACGGGCGCATAATCTAGGTACTTCAAAATCCTAAAATTGAGGGGCCAATTCACACAGGTCTATTTAAACCAGGGTTGGCAAAACGAAAAACCCATTTAAAAAACCCTGCGACCTATACAAAAACCCAACACAAAAACCCAATTTTTATATGTATAGTATTTAATGACAAAATATAATGTAGTTTACTTGGAAACAGACAGGTACTGATAGATCAGTCTTACATTCTTATTCCTAAGTTTCAAGAACATTTTACATTAAAATATAAAATACGAAACGGCTTTTTCATTAGAAACAAAAACAAAATAAAATATATTTCACTTGGAAACAGACAGGTACTGATAGATCAGTCTTTATATTCTTATTCCTAGTTTCAAAAAAAATTTACATTAAAATATAAAATACAAAACGGCTTATTCATTAGGAACAAAAAAAAATAATTAAAAACCTAAAACAATTTTTTCTCTTTTTTAAAGTGGCTCATTTTTATTATTTATTTTAATTCACATATCAAAAAGAAACACTCCTTCTATTTTATTACAACACTTAACCAAAAACAACCAGTCTAAGTTCAAAATTAATGTTATTTTTCTATAATTTGAGGTTAGAGTTCTTGAAATTCGACAAATACCCAAAAATTACCCAAATACCCAAGAAAAATACAAATACCCAAAACCCCACCCAAAGCATACAAAAACCCAGATTTTTGCCAACCCTGATTTAAACCAGTATTTTCTTGGTTTCAGTTGTAACTGATAGCTAATTTTCATGGAAACAAATGTACTTATTCACATAAGGGGTCGTTATCTATTAGAGAAAATGGAAGCTAGAGAAACCGGTGCTTATTAAGTTCAAAAATTTGTAAAAAATCGAATTTTGATACTGTGAACAGAATGTTACTCCCACTCCGATGATCTTGCCAATAAAGAACTATGTATCTGTCAACAATCAGTACCTACTATCTCAAGATACTCCTAGTAGGATTTTCACGTACATCATCGGTGTATCACATCTCAATTAGGTATGTTTACATAGTATCTGAAATCGATAGAAAAACATAAATATGAAGGAAACCATACGAGAAGTGCTGCATAATGGTGGGTATACCTACTGTAGAGTGTAGAGGATCGTTGGTATAATGGGTTCACCAACCACAACGCAACATTGTTCGTATGGTTTCCTACAACACCTGCTTGTTCTGTTCTATCGATTGCAGATACTATGTAAACATACACATACTTAATTAAAATGTAATACACCGTATTTAGTAAATTCGAAACCATTTTTTTAACTATGGTGCAAGAATACAGAATACTACTAACATCGCATAATATTTCGGTAGAAGTTCTACTGAAAAACAAACGCTGAATGGCCTGCACGGTGCAGTGGCGTATCACAAAGACATTGGGTTGTGGACGCTTGCCAAAAACCGAAAACCCCGTAGACATACAATTATATAAATTACGTTCTCTACGACTATTAAGTAATGCACTGATTCTTGTCGCATATTAAATTGAATAATAGCGTACATTCTTCACAGCATTTTTTCTTTCGCCCTCGATTAGCCAATCACGTGCTTTGATTTTTTAGAATTCACAATAAATTTACTGCCGGAAAAATTAAAAAAAAAAAAGTATACGTAACTGTACACTTCTTGCATTAGTCGGAGAGAAAGTATAGTATTCCAAAACTCGCTCTTGAGCTCTTTGCGCGAAAATGTAATTAATGGTATGAATTCAAAAACACGGCAATAACGCACACCTTAACCAAAAGTCCGAAAGTGGATTTATTTAAAAAAAATTTTCTTGAGACAAGTTCATTTTAAGCTACATGTACGCCATTCCCTATTTAGCAGACAGTAATTTACTCTCGTCTTGGGATTAAGTGGTAGAACAGTCGCCTAATTTTGGCAAGACTGAACTTCGTCCCTTTGGACACTCCATTTTTTTCTTTTTTTTTAATTGTTTTCTTGTTTTGTTATTATATAGGTATTATTGAGGTGGAAGTATGTCCAATAAATGGCTGATAATAATAATAATTATTATTAAGTTTTCCGAATATGAACTTCGAAAGCTTCACAAAAAGTACTACCTATTTTATGTGAAATTTGATAAGCTATAATATCAATTCGCGAGTTTTTTTTAAGGATTTAAGTAATACAATTTTTATTAAACACGATTGATCAAAATCAAACGCAATGTGCATTTGAAAATAAACTAAAAAATGTTTGGCCCTCGTTGATTTTTGCAGGTAGGTATACAGAATTTCAAATTTTAGTTAGAGCACTGTAAGCGCCCAGATTAGTACTCCAAATCAATACAATAATGCTTCATTAGAAAAATGATCATCATTTAAGAATCAATACAAACGCTAGGTTTAAATTATATGGTCAAGTTCTTATAGGTAAGGGAAGCATCCCTCAGCCATGTATGTATGTGATTTATGCGCAATAGCGTGTTATTATTAGTCTAGCATATATTCAAATCATTATTATTATCAAGTGTTTTGCATAATATTGCAAACCGAAATTAATGTAATATTCTGTTTTAAAACACACCAAGAGAAAATCATTATAAATGCAGAGAATCGGAAAGAAAATAGCAACGACTTACCGAAAAGAACAATAGGTAATTAAAGATAGCTCGGCCACAGCAAATCCTCCTGAACCTGTAACAAAAACCAATTGTCACTACAATATTTTACAGTGTATCGTTAACGGTTAGTTTATTTTAACAGGGTAGATTTCAAAGTACACAGAGTATTATTAAAAATAGAAGCGTTCATGCCATGGGGTATACTTTGGTAAGACGTATTTCACGGTTAGTATCTATTGTTGATTTTGGAAGACTTTTTGAAATTCAACGGAGTCATAGGGACAGGGTCCTAAGGAAAAGCAGTCAAATGTCAAACATTTTGAAAAATCTTGAATAATTTAAAAACCTTTGATGCTATAGGTATGGGGAAATGCGGTGTCTAACGACGTAGATTTCGAAAATGCAATAAAATACAGGGTGTTCTGTTTAAACTACAAAAGTTGCTATGCACCTCCTGTAAAACCGGAAGTAAAACGATCATATTTTCTTTCTATCGATATGCAAATTTTGAGATTTAAATTATCAAAGAAAGCCTGATTGCTTTTAGATAACGATTTCCGTGAAACAGCCTGTATAAATGTATATATTAGTCCAATGTAACAACAACTTCACCGAATTTCACATAATGCCAAATTTATTTGAAGTAACTAACTTTAAAAGATTCGATATATATCCTAATCCCCCATAACCCGTAACGTTACAAAGAATCACAAGAATTCTTTTGCAAAATTTGCCATCACTGACCATAGGGTTCTTCACCGATCATACGATTCTATCACATTTATAGGCTAGTAGAATTGAAATCTAAATTGGATTTAAATCCCATAAAGTTTTTTAAAGTCCTCTAAATTAACTTATTGTAACGGGCGATCAAAAATGATTTGCTGTCGAGTCGCCTTTGGAAGTTCAAGTACGATTTCCCATGTAAACAAAAATTCCAAAGGTACTCGACAGCAATTCATTTTTGATCGCATGGTATTGTTAAGAAAGTGAACGGTGGGACAGAACTTTTTTGTTTATTATAATTTAATATATGACAATCAAGTGCGTGGAAGTAAAAATCAAGCAGACCGTTTTGTTCTGTCATTGAGATGGTTTCAAATTGAGTAATTTCATTGAAATTTTTTCAAAATGTCAATTTTAAGTATGTAATTTCTCTGAAAATGACGGATGGAGGCAATTATTTATTTTAGAGAACTTTCAGGTCGCGATTTCTAAAAGTGACAGCGTGACAGTTCTCATTATTGACTACCTACTAGTTAATAATGACCAGATTATTAACCACTTCGAACAACTGCCGAGAAAGCCTACTTTACAAGTGCAAAAAAGATTAATAATATAACAATAATCGACAGTTTCCAGACTTATCAGCAAACCTGTTTGGCAACATGGCGTCTACCAATTCTTTCCTTTGCCTACTACCACTTGAATAATAATAGTTTAAGAAAGATGAAAAAATGGCCATCGATGGTTTCAATTGCCTACCGAAATTAATGTAATATTCTGTCTTAAAACACACCAAGAGAAAATCATTATAAATGCAGAGAATCGGAAAGAAAATAGCAACGACTTACCAAAAAGAACAATAATTAAAGATAGCTCGGCCACAGCAAATCCTCTTGAACCTGTAACAAAAAACAATTGTCACTACAATATTTTACAGTGTATCATTAACGATTAGTTTATTTTAACAGGGTAGATTTCAAAGTACACAGAGTACTTTTCAAAATAGAAGGCGAGATACGAGCGCTGGTTGCATTTTAAAACGTCACGCATTGAATTGTGCAATAAATAAATGCAAAAGAAATCCCTCTAAAGTACTTAGACGCGCCATCAGTCCTCGAAGAGATTTCCTCCAGGGGGTTACAAAGAAAAGACCAAAGCATTCATGCCTTGGTCAAAACTTGGGATATACTTTGGTAAGACGTATTTCACGGTTAGTATTGTTGATTTTGGAAGACTTTTTGAAATTCAACGGAGTCATAGGGACAGGGTCCTAAGGAAAAGCAGTCAAACGTCAAAAATTTTGAAAAATCTTGAATAACTTTGTAAACCTTTGACGCTAGGTATACGGAAATGTGGTACCAAGCGACATAGATTTCGAAAATGCAATAAAATACAGGGTGTTCTATTTAAAATAAGTGCTGAAACCACATTTCTGCTACGATACGCACAGGAAAATTTTGAAAAAGAACAAAAAAATTGAGTACCTAGTTTGAAAATGGTATACAGTGTATAATCAATTCTTTAAAGCACGCGCAATGAGTTTTAGGGCACGACGCGAATTATTATTATTACTATTATTATTATTATAACATATGTATATCAATATCTTTGTAAATTGTTAATACTGTATTAATGGTAACCTTTCGATAAGTCTTTTAGACTTGAAGGGAACCGACAACTATTGTTCACTGATGGAAATAAAAAAAAATTCAATTCAAATTATTATTATTATTAAAAAAAGACCAATTAAGCGGTGCTCTTCACTATGGATTTTAAAGTTTTTGCTAACAACAAACAATCATCAAAAGAATTATAAATGGCAATGTTAACCAATGACATTTTATTTTGTTTTAATATCCTCCACTATGGTTTTTCATGGCTTACTATATTAAAAATGAATTATTTTAGCTCACGCATTGGTTTAAATGCAAAATTTATTATTTTATCTTTTAAAATGAGCTTTTCTTTATTTGGGGTAAATGTTTAATCATTTTAATTGGTGTTTACAATTTTTAACGGCCTACTGATTAATGAGAGACTTTGAAAATCAAAAAACACTGTGAATTATTAGAAGTAATATACAGACATGCTTATATCGCTAGAAAGGTAATCAAATCCTACATTTGATGCAATAAAAACCTTGGTACTTTCACAATGTATTTTAACGGAGTAGCTTCTACACTTATACCTTTATGTTTTTTCATGTCATCTCATTGGCTAATTTTTTTTAAATTTGATTTTGTATTTTGTTTTACATCACTAATAGGTTATCTAGAGGGTTATCTTATAGAGGATTAACGTCATTATAAAGTAATTTATGTCATCAGCTGGTTAAGTGGTAGAACAGCTAATTGTTACATGTTAACGAAGCTTTCTTTAAATTAATTTCCATGCTGAACTTCGCCTTTAAATGTATTGTAATATGCATTTAATAAAGACATTTATTATTGTTATTATTTTTAAAAAAATCAAGTTACCTTTGATTGAAATTTTGAAAATTGAGTGATTTCTTTTAACACATAGCGTTTTGGGTATGTTGGTACATTTCATGATTAATAAGAATACAGTCACGGCCTTCTAAGTTTTATGATATAACTACGATGTTCAATTTTTACTGGACCTGTACTTTTTGGAAAAATGACGGATTGCGGCTAAACGACTCATTTTAGGTATCATGTGTAATACCGTTTATCGTCGTGTATAATACAAAACTTTATTTTATAACAGAAGTCACAAAGTGTCTGACAATTTGAATTTAATTTAGACCTCAAAAATAGCAAGCTTAGGTTCTGTGGTCGCAGTCATTTCCATAGGAACAGCACAAGTCATTCCAAACGTCATTTTATATCGTACTTCACGTGACATTTAAAGTAAGAATGACAGTTGTCATTAGAATGTACAATCATCTGTTTTACTTTATGTATCCTTGTGGTTAAAGTGATCACTTTATCTACCCTCGCGGTTAAAGAGCGTCTTAGCTTGTCTGTGCTAGTAGTCAATAATGAGAACTGTCACTCTGTCACTTTTAGAAATCGCAACCTGAAATTTCGCTCAATAAAAGTTCTCTAAAATGAATAATTGCTACCATTTGTCATTTTCAGGGAAATTAGATACTTAAAATTGACATTTTGAAAAAATTTGAACGAAATTACTCAATTGGAAACCATCTAATTGACAGAACCAAACGGCCTGCTTGACTTTTACTTCCACGCACTTGATTGTCATGTTAAATTAATAAACAAAAAAAATTCTGTCCAACCGTTCACTTTCTTAACAATACAATATGTTAATTTAGAGGACTGCAAGTACTAGTAGTGAAAACAAGTTGTAAATCAGCATATGCATGATTAAAGCGCATTTTTGGTAATGCAGGTCAGTATTTTATTAGCGAAGTTTAAAATTATCGATCTCACGAGTAATTTTGGCTGCGTTAAATAATTAATTTTATTTAATTTCAATTGACGGTACGTCTTCATTTTGTAAAACAAATCACAAAGTAAATAATAAGTTTTTATACTGGTAGCGCTATCTAACGGTAAAATTATAGCACCTCCGAAACCCATATCGAAATTATTTTCTTCAATTATCGATCTCACAAGTAATCTAACTCAAAATAGACTAGTGCCTGCACATCTACACTATAGCAGGAAGCTTTTAGTGAAAATTTGAAGTCTCTAGCTATTGTAGTTGTGGAGATCTAACGCGGACACCCGGCCTGCCAGCAATAACGAATATAATAGCGTATTTTTTTCAAAAATGCGCTAAAAAAATAGTATACACGGTGTCCATTTTTCGAGTGCCACTTATCTTAAGAGATAGAAAGTTGGTTAAATGGGAGCAAAGTTGCCAATTTTCGTGCTGAATAAGAATCTGAAAAGACATTTCAAATATCTTCAATAGTTTTGAATATATCTCAAAAAAACAAAAATTTCTGATTTTCGTTTTTATTTTTTTTATGATAAACTAATCGCAGTAGACATTTCTAATTAATACATTATTCGGACACTTTTTAATGGAGATTTCAAATATGGCATCCTGTTTTTAATAACTCTCCAGATGACGGAGAAACACGTGGCAACTTTAGTTTTTCTTATGGACGCCATTTTGAATTTTCACATTTTGAGATTACGTCTTTTTTTCTCTTTACAACGATATATCACACATGGAGGTTCAGTATCACATTTTTCCTAAAAATAAAATTTTTAATTTTTTGAGAAGAGTGCTTTGGGAAAACAAAACGTTCTTTTGTTGTGAACAAAAGGTTGACTTATTTCATGTAGTGTCATTTAGGTTTATGCTAGTTGTATTGCGAAAATGCCTTTTTCAAATGCAGATCAAAGAGATATGATTCAAATTTACTACACTTCTCTTTTCATCGAAATGCCCACATGACTGCTGCAACATACTTGCAGCGTTATCCAGATGTAGACAGCAATATGGTGATAGACCCAATGAATATGAGCAGGGAATTTTGCAAGCGGATGAGATGAAAATCGAATTTCTACTTCGCTGACAACGCTGCAACCAGACAGATGGATCAAACTGTCAAACTTTTGTTGACAACAAAAGAACGTTTTGTTTTTCCAAAGCACTCTTTTCAAAAAATGAAAAATTGTATTTTAGGAAAAATGTGATACTGAACCAGTATGTGTGATATATCGTTGTAAAGAGAAAAAAAGACGTAATTCCAAAATGTCAAAATTCAATATGGCCCCCGTAAGAAAAACTAAAGTTGCCACGTGTTTCTCCGTCATCTTGAACGTAATTAAAAACAGGATGCCATATTTGAAATCTCCATTAAAAAGTGTCCGAATAATGTGTTAATTAGAAATGTCTACTACGACTAGTTTATCATAAAAAAATTAAAACCGAAAATCAGAAATTTCCGTTTTTTGTCATATCTTCAAAAGATATTTCAAATTTCTTTTCAGATTTTTATTCAGCACGGACATTTGCAACTTTTCACCCATTTAACCAACTTTCTATCTCTTAAGATAAGCGAGATCCCCATAGTGGCACTCGAAAAATGGACACCGTGTATATATTACGGTAGAGAAGTCTATTATTGCCTCAGCTCAAGCGCCTCTGGATGTAATGTAATCTTGGTGCTCAGGCAATAATACTAGACTTCTTTGCCTTGGTATATGATGTAGTAATGTACCTACTATTATTTTATAGCACACGTTCAATTGACATTTTAATAGGTTTGAATAAGTAGACTAAGCCGTTCTTTAACCGTAAGGGTAGATAAAGTGAAACAAATGATTGTACATTCTAATGACATAGGTCATTCTTATTTCAAATGCACGATATAAAATGACGTTCAGAACATATGACAATTCTGTTTCTATGGAAACGATCGCGACTGTAGAACCTAAGTTTGATATTTTTGCCGTCTCTAAATTGAATTCAGAATTGTCAGAAGCTTTACAATAATTGATATGGCTTCTGCTATAAAATAAAGTTTTGTATTATACACGACTATAAAGGGAAACTAACCATCTCGTGAAAGTTAACATCTTTCACTCAATGGTTAAAATATCCCTTTATAGTCTTGTATAAAGACCATTATTAACCACTTTGAACAACTGCCGAGAAAGCCTTCTTTACAAGTGGAAAAAAGGTTAATAATATAACAATAATCGACCATTTCCAGACTTATCAACAAACCTGTTTGGCAACATGGCGTTTACCAACTCTTTCCTTTGCCTACTACCACTTAAATAATAATAGTTTAAGAAAGATGAAAAAAATGGCTATTGATAGTTTCAATTGCGTACCATCATTTAAATAGTTTGCAAGGAAGTTAAATGGTATTTACAGGTCTAGATTCTTTAATAAAGAGATTTTTTTAATAAAATCATACCAGACCAATGACTTCCATAAGAAAAACACAGAAGTATATATCGACGGACGTGAAAATTCGGTTACATTATATTATTATACTCACGCAATTATCTTTTACAGTTTTTAAAAATCAATCAAACACTTGTTTATAGAGCATTTTTCTATAAAACAAAGAGGGTAAATTTGACTCTCTGAATATAAATTAATGTACTCAATTGAAAATCAATTCGTATTTCAAGACATTTTCTTCTAGGTCAACTTAAGCTTGTCACGAGAGCATTTTCATTTGAATTTTTTGGCAAATTTTTCCCTGCCGAATTGCGCGTCCGTAGAAATATTTAAGTTGTAAAAGAGTGAAGGTCCTGAAAACAAGGTCCGTTAACTTGGCCCCCCCACTGAGAGATTTCATAGTCGTATTATTTTGAAATGAATGCGCTCATATGCGCCGCCGATAATAACTCTTGCCCCATTATCGTTTTTTAGAAATCCGAAAAAACATGGGGGAGGGGGGCAAGTGAACGTAGCCCCCCCAGTACGTATTTTGTCCCTTGTAACTAGGTCACCTGATACATTTGGTTATGCGCTCAATTGCGCCACTTGAATTAAAGCTAGCGCCATTACGGTTAAGCCGTGACAAATTTTCAAAAAGTGGGGGGGCCAACTTAACGTTTTTAAAAGTTACTTTTTTTTAACATCTTTTCATACGAAATTGTACTCTCAGGTATGCGCTGAAATGCGCCGTAAAAAGATATCTTTGCGCCATTATTGTTTTTTGGTTATCCTTAAATATATTTGGGGGGGGGGGCAAGTGAACGGAATCCCCCATAACGCATTTTGCTACCGGTATTTGTGCCACTTGATACATCTGGTTATGAGCTCAATTGCGCCACTTGAATTAAAGCTAGCGCCATTACGGTTAAGCCATAAAAAATTTTTAAAAAGTGGGGGGGGGCTAACTTAACGTTTTCAAAAGTTACGTTTTTTAACATGTTTTTTCTACTACATCGTACCTTTCATCATGCGCTAAAATGCGCCGTAAACAAAAATCTTGGCGCCATTATAGTGTTTCAGAAACACTATACAGGGTGTTTTTTGGGAGCTTTAGTTAAACGATTCTGAGAAAGTAAAATAGGTAGGTTTTTAAAAATTTGTATTTAGGAGTTACTCCGAAGGCCGAATCGATGTAAAATATTTTCAAAATGGACGCACTTCCGGAAATAACTTTTGAAAACGCTAAGTTAGACCCTCCACTTTTTAAAAATTTTTTATGGCTTAACCGTAATGGCGCTAGCTTTAATTCAAGTGGCGCAATTGAGCGCATAACCAAATGTATCAGGTGACCTAGTTACAAGGGACAAAATACGTACTGGGGGGGGCTACGTTCACTTGGCCCCCCCAAATGTTTTTTCGGATTTCTAAAAAACGATAATGGCGCAAGAGTTATTATCGGTGGCGCATATGAGCGCATAACGAGCGCATTCATTTCAAAATAATACGACTATGAAATCTCTGAGTGGGGGGGCCAAGTTAACGGACCCATTCCCATAAGCAAATACAGTTCATGGTAGTTTCAAGTTTTGTTTTGACAATTGGAATGAATGTGTGTATGTCATTTCTCACAGTTTTTTTTGTTATATTAACTGCCTTTAATCGCGAGTCGCGTCTGGTTTTGAAATTACACTCTGTAAATTAAGCTTCTTTGGTTACTTTTGCAACGCTGCTAATTGGGAATAAAGGTGTGAGAAGCAAATTTGAGAGTCAGGCACATCTTTAAAAGCTGTTTAGTAATGGTGGAAAGCACACTCTTCTCAATATTCATAACTTAAGACACAAGCACCAAGAAATTTCATAAAACAGGAATTTTCATACATCTAAGACCAAAAACATGCAGTCTAGTAAATTTTGTTTATTTGCAACTGGCAGATTTTTTTGTTGCGAGTTTTACTAAGAAAGTTGTAGCATTTTTCTCTTTGGCGTTGATAAGCATTGATTGTTCAAGATTTGTTTCATTTTCTTGCCGAACATCTAGAGGGATAATCTTGAATGCCTCGATAAATTCCACTAAATGTACCTAAATTATGAAGTGTAATTCGACAATAAAACTGAAGCTTTGAAACTCAATTACTTTCTAAGATATTAATTGTTACAGTTTTTCCCTCGGACAAGACAAAAAGGGTATAGATTTTTCCACTCGCAAACATTCGCCCGAAACCGTCAACATTTGGGCGGGGAATTCGCCCTTACAAAAGAAACGGGCGTATACGCGCACGCTATCACAACTTGATTGCCATCGTGTATGGAGAAGAAATCAAAACGCACAGTCGCACGTGTCATTTTAATAGGTACACGTGTTTCTACTCGATTTTTTGTACAAACATCGGCATGTTTTCGTCATTAACTGTCGTGATGTAAGTGATTAACAATAAGTGTGAGAGGGATGTTTAATATGGACAATTTGGATTTAGATCGGCAGTTCTTTTTTGAGCCCGGCGCGTTTATTGGCAATAACAATAATAATACTAGTGGTAGTTCGAGTTCGACAAACAGTGGCGATCTGTTTCTCTACGATGATAACAGCAGTGACTCGGTGGGATCCGCCTATTCCTTTAACAGTGACCAGGAGAACACCTCGTCCGGCTCTAAAGAGTAAGTTGGAGCTTTCCGCTTTTCGGGGTTGAAAAACCAATTTTTCAGTCGCTTGCATCGTCATCGTAGGCGCAGCAAATGCCCGCAGCAGCAAATACAGCAACGGCAAGCCGCAAATTTACGCGAAAGAAAACGGATGCAATCCATTAACGATGCCTTCGAGGGACTCCGGGCCCATATTCCAACGTTACCTTACGAGAAAAGACTGTCGAAAGTCGACACCCTGAAGTTGGCGATCGGCTACATCAACTTCTTAAGCGAGCTAGTGAGAGCCGATCGAAATTCGTCGACCGGCGGATTTAGCGGTCTGAGTAGAAACAATCAAAGGGACGAACCGAAAAAGATCATTGTAAGGGGTAAGTTTTTATTTTACGCAAATTACTATGACAGCTGCATTGCCTCACAGTTTTTGATAGGGACACAAGAGCCCAGTCATCACGCATTTTGTCATTGTAGAGGGTGTAAATAACCCCCACAATCGGTCTTCAATAGAACCACAAATGGCAGGAGAGCTTCTAATAATTCATTTATTATGATACGCTCTTTAAGTGAAACTGATCGCGGGAATTATTTGCTCCAATCGTTTAAAAATTACTCATGGGGGGGCTGTTGAAATTATTACCGCTAATTTTTCGTTTCATGTTCAGGCTCGGGTGGATTATACACGGCGCATTCTTTATCGTGGTCCCGACAAAAAGAGCCAAATTCGAATGGGATTATGTACGCTAAAGTGTGGACCCCCGAAGATCCGAGGGCGAATAAGACGGACGGTAGTTCCTCTTTCGTTTTGCAAGATTAAAGTTACCTCCAAAATCTATTCTAGTCGATGAGTGCAAGTACACTTCTTTTGATACCAAAATCGGTCTAGTCATTTAAGTGCTCAGTTGTTGTTACTCGTAAATGTATATATTGATTATAGTATTAAATAAAATAAATAATATACAAATTTATTATGGTCAAATTTTTTGGAAACACTCCCTTAATTTAGTGGAGGTTAAACGTCTCTATACCCATCTTTTTTTCTAACTGTCACTTATTTTCATCTTAAAAACTTTCAATGAATAGGCACAACGAAAGCGTTCAATTTTTCCCGATTTTTCCCGTCGAATTATACGGAAGTAAAGATTTCTAACTTGAAAAAGAGTCAAGGTTTCGAAAACATTCTCCCAAACAAATATTGTTCATGGTAGTTTTTATTTTGGCGATTGTCAATGAATTATTTGTCCTAAATCGTATTTGTCTGTTACGGTTTTGAATTACACGCTGGAAATTCGTCATGTTCAGAAATTCAAATACAGCTCCGAAAGCCGGTTGAACCAATGAAAATTAATAAAATACCGCCGCCATAACTATTCCACCATCGAGTTAAACAATTATGGAGTATTCGAGAGGGAATTTTTTTGAACAAAAATTTTGTTCGTCGACCTTAATAGAATAAGGTCCAGATTCGAGATTGGTGTATAGTGAGCCAATGCGGACAGAGTACGGTCCATATTTTGGCGTTCGTCCAAATCAACTCATAGCCACCTATTGGTCCAGTTAGAAGGTTGTGAAAAATTTGCGTTTGTCATTAGAGTGTAAAAGGTACGGAGCATGAACGTGAACAATTTAAAAGTGTCGCAATCGAATGGATTACGTGAGCAGACACGGCGTTCCTTCCATTATTTAGTTTATTTCCCTGTATTGCATTTTCGAAATCAACATGAAAATCTACGTCGTTTCCCCATACCTAGCATCAAAGGTTTATTCAAGATTTTTTAAAATTTTTGACGTTTGACTGCGTTTCATTAGGACCCAGTACCTACCAATGACGCCGTTGACTTGAATTTTAAAAGATTTTCTAAAATCAACAATACTGACATGATGCGACATGAGAATAATTTACATTTTAATCCCCCTTCTACAGGGTGTTTAAAAACTAACGGTCAGTTTTAATAACTTTTGTATTGTACCGTTCTTGAAAACATTACCTAGCGAAAATTACTGGTTTCAACATGACGGAGCGCCGGCTCATTCTACCCGATGCTTATATGTCTTTGAACATTTTTGAAGATAGGTGGATTATATGTGTGGGGTCACTAAAATTAAAGTTTGAAGTTAATTTTCAGAGAAATCTAGGGAAGGAGAAATTCGTTGTAAGTATGTAACCGTAAATTTATCTCAGGGGCTCCAGGATACTCTTTGATAAAAGTCAGGAAAATGACACATTACTGGAGAGGAAATATTGAAGTACGAGGTCCCTTTGAGGCCGAGTACTTTAATTTCCGAGTGACATGTCATTTTACTGACGAGTTTTTTATTAAATTTGACCCGAAACCGTATTTTGATCTAAAACTTCAATTTTCATATGGAACTTTTGATTATTGTCAATCTGTCAGTAATGACAGAGGCCATTATAAACACTTAACAATATGACAGCTGACAGGTGCGGCTGGTAAAGTGACAGGCGGCAGGAAAGGTAGTCGGATTTGCCTCTGGCGTGGAAAATAAAGATTCCTGACATAGAGAAGGCATGAAAATGATGGTTGCTTCATGACGATTTTGGGTAAAAAATTTACACAAAATATTACACCTATTTTGCATGCCAACAAAATCTTACAGTGATCTTTAGTGTCACTTAAATACGGGAATGGTGCAAAGACCAGAAAGCTAAACAAAGTAACGGAGAGTTCAAATTTCATGCCGAAATTCATACAGGGTGCTTCAAAAAAATTTTTGAAAGCTAACACCCTGTATACAGCGACCAACTATTTTCACCCATTATTTTAGAGATTTTATAAAATAATACATATATCAAATTTGAAACAATTATCACAGAACATAAGAGAGAAAACTCAAAATACGAAAACTTTGCCATCCGGTATAACGAAAACGACGCCATTGAGACCAGCATATATTTCTTGCTTTGACGAGTACTATTACCCCCTCAAATATCTGCATGACATGAGCCCCTGTATAATAGAAGGCTTAGAAAATGCGGTGGGGCTATTAACAACTCGCACTCAAAAATGACGAAAATTGAGACAAGTTTCTAGAACTCCTGGGGAGTTATTCAAAAACTTTACATTAAAATTACACAAAACTCGCTTATGAACTCTTCAGCTAATGGGAGGGTGGTAAAGTCAGAACTTCAGAGTTATACAAAAAATTTTTTTTAATCCATCCGTGTCAAGGAAGAAAATTCTCGATAGTTTTTTTAGCGATCTTCCAACTCATGTTGGAAGGACCAATTATGGCTACTTTCTCCGTCCGTCTGCGCAATGTCAACTTTATTTAAGAGATCTTTTTTTTGAAACTTTAAACACAGATGCTTCTAGTAAAGACAAGCATATCGCATATTATAAAAATCAGATGTGCGCACGCGTAAACTATGCAATGTCAACTTTCTTATTTATAAAGATATTTTTTTTGAAATGTTAACCAAAGATTTTTCTAATAAAGGCAAACATATCGCATATTTTAAACATCAGGTGTGCGCAATGCTAAGTTTCTTATTTATACGATATTTCCTTTGTACGGTGTGCGCTATTTTGGTTGACAGCGCAGTGTGACTGGAACGTGTGCGAACTTTTTTTTTTAAAAACCCAGCACCTGATTTTTAAACGAATTTGTTCCATATTTTAGTTGCTCACTGTGTATTGAAAACTGTAGGAGCTCCAACATGAGTTGGAAAATGAGCTAAAAAACAAAAAATCATCGCATTTTTTCAGATCATAACAAAAAAGTAACTTTTTTTTATATAGAACACCCTGTATATTATTACATTATGACAGCTTATTAAATTCTCTACAAAAGTTTTTTATGCACCATGGCCAAAATACTTCAAATAACTAAGTTTTTTCAATTATTTTCAATTTCAATCCAGTTATCCATGAAAATGGTAAAATGATCTTGTTTGTTGTAAAATATCTGGCAATTAACTTTGAAGTTTATTACCTACAGTTTCCTAGAAAATATGCTTTTCACGCGCCCTATATACTGCAAAAAATGGAAACGTTTTTGAACACTTTCTTTAACAGGGGTAGGTATCAATTGTAACTTACGTTATTTTTAGCGCACTTTTCAACGAAAAATTTTGTTTTCTTTTAAATTACAGATATACAGTGATATTTATTAAGAAGTAGGCATAGGGATTTGGGTGTATTGTTTTCCCTATGTCTACTTTTAAATTACAAAATCTCTTCTGAAGAGTGCCGAATTTTATGCATCCAAAATGCCAAATTGCTTTGGCTTCATCGAAAATAAATTTCTAAGCACCAATTGACAATAACTTTTTTTTTCAGTTGAGTACGTCATACACGAACGAAAATAAGAATACGGAAGTTAAAACAACAATATTCATATTAATTAATATGACAGCCAGATTCCTATTTGTTTTAAAAAGTTATTTTGGTTGCATAAAATTAGGCGACCTTCAGAAGAGATTTAGTCATTTAAAAGTAGACATAGACCAAAACAATACATGTAAATCCCTATGTCTACTTCTTAATAAATATCACTGTAGATTGAGTAGAAAAAATACACCATTTTCATAATTTAATAACTACTTAGAGACAATTTTAGAATTTACAGGAAAAGAACAGAAGATTAAGAAATTTTGAGGGAAGTATAAAGGGAACTCAGACACAATTTGGGAGTGCGGTAAGAGAAAGTGGCTTATGAAGAGAATTACAGCAAAATTGAAAGAGAAATCTAGAGAAAATTTTGGAAAAACCGAAAGGACAGTTGAAACATGAGGATCAACTAAAAGAGGAACAATCAATTTTAGGCAAACTAAATGGGAACTTGAGAGGAATTTGGTGCGACAGAGGGGCAAAATTTGGGAATCTACTAGAGGTGAGAATTTTAGGGGAACGTGAAAGGGAGTCGAGAACTTGAAAGGAACATAAATAGAATGTGAGATTAACAGAATTCATTTAGGTAAATTGATAGGAATTTGAGAATAAATTGGCATGTGCTTATGGGGAAATTGAGCAATATGAAGGGGGCCTTCAACAGAATTTGTTAATGATTTGAGGGGAATCTGCAGAGAATTTTGGAAGCGCAGGAAAGTCAGCTTTAAAGAGGAAATTGATACGAACTTCGGGGGAGGTGGAGAGGAGCTTGGCGAATATTAAAAAGAAAATTTTAAAAGTAAATGAAAGGAATTTGAAGGGAACATGAGATAACAATAAAAATGAGAGGAACTGCCAAAGTTACGGAGAGCAGCTTTAGGGAATTGTAAAATTGACTTGAGTAATTCGGAAATCAGAGAGAATTTTATGAAGTTTCAGCCGAACTTGAGAATGATTCGAGTGAAACCTGCAGAGAATTTTAGGATTGGAACTTGAGAGGAATTAGGCACGAATTTAAAGAGAACTAGAGCCGAACGAAAAATGTGGAGCATTATGAAGAATTGAAGAACCTAACTTGACAAGAGAAGAGGAGCATGAAAGGAATGGAGTATAACAGAATTAATTTAACAGAAATTGATATTTATTTGAGAAGAACTTCAGAAAAAAATTAAAAGAAAGCTTGGAGGAGACATAAGAGAAAATTTAGAAGGGGCTGAGAGCGGCTTACGAGGAAATGGAAAGGATTTCATTGGAACTTGAGAATGATTTAAGATAATTTTTAAGAAAATTAAATGGGAACTTAAAGGGCAGGTGAAAGAAACATGAGGAAGAGGAACAATGACTTTCAGGGAAAAATAGAAATTCATACGAACTTAAAAGGAACTGGAAAGGAATGTGACGGGAAGGAATGAGGGGTATTGAGTCATTACGCTAATTTGAAAAATGTACACCTATCACCTGATTTCTTACAAGGTTTTTCAACTTTATCAAAGGCCGAATTTTACCTAAATTTTTAATAACATGGGAGCCCAATCCGATTTCTTTGAGAAAATGTGTGCAAGTATATCCCAATGTGCTTCTGGAAAATCGTAACCTTTCTCGGGGCCCCTTTTCCACGATGAGGTGAAAGTTATCTATCACATTACGCAATCAAAGAGCGACGCAAGTTTTTGAGCAATTACTTTCGTCGTAAAGTAATAACATTCATATTTAACAGTTCCCATGCAAAGAAAATAAAGAAGAAGAGCAACTCACCCCCAAAGGTCTCAAGTTCGCCAAAAGACAGCGTAAAACGCGATCTCGATTTACCAGCGACATCACAGAAACTGACTAATTTGAATAACCCACGGTGGCCTTATCAAGAATTTGAAAACTAGTCGGGTGACGTATCACCACCTGTGTTGATTAAAATTGAATGCAAAGTAGAATTATCTACACGTTTGTCACCGTCTTAGATTTTTAAAATGTAATTCGCGTTTTTGGTATCCGTTCAAGATTAGAATTATGTTGGGTACCCTGATTTGCTCTTGGAAAATTTACATTATAATGTTGCGTTGCCCTCGCGTCATAATTTTTGCAAACGAATAATGATCCTGAGGGTCAAAAGTAGAATACTCACATTTTGAAAAATATTTTCATTTGTAAAAACCATCGCCTTTTCACAATTTCTAGAAAAAGAAAATAAGAAAACTCACCCTTAAATCTTCACAAAAAGTGATTTCGGTTACCAAGCACTAACACTAACGCTATTTCGACAAATTTCATTGACCGGCGCACAAGAAACTGGTCTTAATTAGAGCATTTTTGGTAACGTACGGCGGCCTTATCAGACCAGGTATTTGAAAACCAGTCGCGTCGCTATGACGTATCAATGCACGTGCGCATAATATTACCAATTTATTGTTTCTATGGTCTTTTTAAAAACGACTTTTTTATACACAGTGTTTCAAAATTTTTTATTTGATAGAGATTCACATCCATGATCAAAACCATTGTCACAACACACTTCGATAAGGATTTTAAGTTAAACCTAAAATCTTGAGGGGTTTCCCGAACTTCTAATCTTTGATTCTCAATATTTTCGAATGCAAAGAATATATCTCTAGTAGTCCCCTAGGGCCGAATATGAACAGGTTTTTTATTTTATTTTAAGGTGTACTTAAAAGTTAAAATATACAGGGTGTTAACTAATGTCATTTCATGGGTGATAAAACTCGTCAAAGTAAAAAATGTGTAGATATATGCATGCTCTAAATGGCGTCGTTTTCGTTATACAGGGTGGCAAAGTTTCAATTATTTCTCTCGAAAACGGTGACAGATACGGGAATAGTGAAAGAGACCTGAAATCTCAACAAAGGAACAGAGAGTTCAAATTTTATGCCGAAATTCATACAGGGTGTTTCAAAAACAGTTTTGAAAGATAAAATTGTAGCCAATTCAAGAAAATGTAACTGCCACCATTACTATTTTGACTTTTTATTCTAAAAAATAATAGATATATCAAATTTGAAACAATTATAGCACCAGAGAAAACACGCAAAATACGAGAAAAGAAATTTCCATGCAAATTTGGGTCAAATCTCAGAAGCAGTGGTCCAAAATTTCTTGTTGACTACACCACTGGATTCTACGTAAAAATATCTAAAATTTAATGTTTTTTCTATCTTGGGTAGTAACTAGTAGGATATGATAACACCTCAAAAAATCATGGATTTGACTCATTTTCAAGTGCCTTGTTACATGTGATATATATGTTAACTGTGTGCAAAGTTTGGCGTTTGGCAGTTATGGTGTTCACGGACGTACAGACGGACACCATCAACTTCCCTATAAAGCTTACATCGCTTTCCTCGGCCGCTTAATAATCTACAAATATAGCATATTAACTTTTAAAAAATATAATACACTAAGGATGATTCAAAAAGGGCTCAAAAAAGATTTAAAAAAAAGGTCAAACGATTTGATAAATACAAAATTTCAAAAATTTTTTGAATCTTTCGCTTTTTTGAATCTTTTGAATCTATTGAAATCAATATGGAATTTTTGTAGTGTTATATTTTGGAAAAGAGATTCTTAATAAGTTAGTTTTTGATTAAAATATTTCAATTTAAAAATGGACGTAGGAAATTAAAAAAATTGTAAATCTATTTCTATCTATTTATTAAAGAAGATATACCAAGATTTTTCTTACAAGTTTCTTTATAAGACTGTTGAATAATGTGCTGTTTTAAAATAAGTGTACGGGATCAGGTAAAAAAGTTATAGGGCCTAACCCGAGACCTAACGTCATTTTTCAGTGGAATGCTCTGTATATTTCATTCGAAAAAGAGGATATTAAATTCACTTTCTAAAAATATAACACTAAAGAAATTTAAAAAAGTGCAATATTAGATTTTTCAAAAAATTTCAAAATGTTTAATTTTTGTTGTTTTTTAATATTTGAACGTTTCTTAAATGTTTTAATTCTTTTTTAATAATTTTGAATTTTTTGTTTTCCCTATCTATTGCGTTATATATTAAAAAAGAAAATGTTAATATGCTATCTTTTTAGATTAAAACATACAGGGTGTTCTATTTAAAAAATGAGGTTAAGTTCAGTAACTTTTTTGCGGACATCAGATATGTAACCTATTTTGAAAACGACAGATTACCCAGCAAGTAATTTTGTAATAAACATTTTTCGTGTCTTCATTCTGATATTGACAATTTTTGATTTTTCCTTGTATCTCTGTAAGCGAGCGAATGTTTTCAAATTTTGATTGTGCCATTTTTTAACATTGGCCCAAAAAGAGCACATGCCACTTAGTTTGTCTTTCGGTATGTGTGATTTGAGTGGGCCACCCCCTATTAGATTTATCGGATTGTATAGAACTTGTTCCACTGAAATACTTTTCTTTTTAGCACATTTCCACAAAAATAAAAAAAATTACTATTGTGGCCACTTTGCCCGTCCGTCCCTAGTTTTTCTACTCTTTCGCTATTGGTTCGTTATGCTGTCAAGGTTTGCACCAAGGAAGGAATTTTTTCTGTGCCGCTTACGAAAAAAGTTATAGTAAAAAACCCATTTTTTTGAGATTGTATTGTATTGCTGTCTGTCTGTATGCCCGTCTGTCAGTGTATCTGTCTGTTTGTCCGTCCGTGTGCACGATAGCTTTTGTATTTGCGCATTTTTAATTGTTAAATACTTAAATGAAACTTTTTATGTAGGCTGTAGATGTAGATGGCGACCTCGACTAAAGTAAAACTAGTGCCGAGTCAAAAAATATGTTGGGCTCATGCGCAATCGGATTTTTTTTATTTGTTAAGTTATTTAAATGAAATTTTGTATGTAGGCATCTGGAATAAAGATGAAACTAATGCCAAATCAAATAATTTGTTTTGCGCATGCCCCAGAAATACCCTGAAATTTTAGGGTAGGGTTCTTTTTATAAACTGAAATTGAAGCAGCAAGTCAAAAATGGATTGCACATGTGCAACGCTAACTTTCTTATTTGTAGCCGGATTTTTACGAAATTTTAAGTTTAAGTTTGCTTGCTTGCATCTTACAGTATGGGAAATGAACGCAATTGTAATGCGGCGAGTAGGTAATGCGCTTTTTATAAATCGTTTACGACGAGGTTTACGATTACCTTTTTAACTTCTTATTTGTGTGTTTAAAAGTACCTGTTACCAACTAAGAATTCCCTAATAGCCAACATAAATGAATATGTTTCTTGCTTACGTAATGCCCGTGTATAGCAACTTGAGCAGCTACCAGAAATCTTTGTCAGTCACCCACAATCACCTGCAATCATTTACAATCGTCTGCAATCATTCATAATCACATGCAATCCTCTAAAATCGACAACCGCATCGCAATCGCAGGATTGTGGTCGCAATCGCAGCAATCGTAGGGAAATCATGGGGATTGTCGCAATACTGTCACAAAATTTGAGATGTTACCCCCTCGTCTAATATCTAAAATTTCAAAGAAATATCTCCATTAATAAGAAAGTTGACATTGCGCAATCTGATTGTTACTATATGCGATATGTTTGTCTTTACTAGAAGCATCTGTGAAAATTTCAACAACATATTATTAATAAATAAGAAAGTTGACATTGCGCACTCTGCGCATGCGCAACTTAATCGTCGAGATTTTTCTTGGCCCAGCTGCCAGAGCTATAAGCTACCGAATTCAAAAATGAACGAACTATAAATACAGGGAGCGGCTAAAATATGGAACAAATTCATTAAAAAAAATGTCGGATTAAAGAAAAATGTTCTCACACGTCCACCACAATTTTTTCTTGCACTAGACAGAAAATATACCGGATGCGTCAAAAAGGAGATTTTGGTATCAAAGCTGATTTTATTAAATTGAACAGTATTTTTCATCTATTTATTTATTATATATATTTCATATATATATTCGTATATATTTCATCTATTTTCGAATTAATTTTACTATACGTAAACAGAATTCGAAACTGAATTTTTAAAAATGCTGTTCAATTTTATAAAATCAACGTTGGCGTCAAAATCTCTTTTTTGACGCACCCTGTATATTTTCTCTTTAGTGCAAAAAATGCGCAAGAAAAAATCATCACATCATCACATTTTTTTAAAATCTCAGCACCTGATTTTTAAGTGAATTTGTACCAAGTTTTAGCCGCTTACTGTGTATTGAAAACTGTACGCTTAGTTAAAGCCTCGAATGGACGGACGAGCGGACCGACGGACAGAAAAAGTGATGTAAAAACAGTTTTGTATGCATCTTTTAATTCTGAACACCTCTACAGTTTTTTCTGTAAAATGTACAGGGGAGCAGGATTTTGCATAAAATTAATTTCACATGTTAAAACCCATGTTCCTACTAACCGTGCACCACCCTGTATATCGTTTGCCTATGTAAACACAACTTTTTCCTTCACAGTTTCTACTAAAAAAACTCATTTAACAATAGAAAAGAAACTATTAAACTCCATCTTTCAACTTAAGCCACTTTCTAAAATTTACATTTTTTACTTTTAAATAAAAGCCTATAATTCCTTTGTTTATTAAGTTATCGGAAAAGTGTTTATTACAGAAGTTTCTTTGCAATGATTGTTGCATCTACTGATTTCAAAATAAGTATACGGGGTCTGGTAAAAAACTTATCAGACCTAACCTCGATTTTAAATGGATTCAATTCGAAAAGAGAAGTGTTTAAAAAAATTTAAAGAAATTGTAAAAATTTTTTTTAAAATTTTATTATAAGAACCTTTTCAATCTTTTTTTGAATGATTTTGAATCGTTTTGAATCTTTTTTTTAAATGTCATCCCTGGTGTGTTATAGTTTTGAAAAGAGAATTTAGTATTCTGTCTGTTTAGATTAAAATATACAGGGTGTTGCACTTAAAAAAAAATGAGGTAAGATCCAATAAAAATAAATTTAACTATTTTTCTTGCCAAGAAGAAAAGTTATCGGACCTAACCGCTTCTTTTCTTCCTATTGCGAATGTGTCTCCAAGAAAAGTCTCCCTTCGCGGAATATTCGTCCCACAAAAATTCGTCACCACGGAACGTTCGCCTTCGGTTTTTTTACCCCTAAATTCGCTACCTTTGGAATACTGGATTGTCGCATGAACTTGTGGAAACCCTAAGCTCCAAGTATATACTTATAATTCTAAAATTCCCCCCTACTTCTGTGATAAAATTCGCTGTAGTGAATTAGGCTCTGGAATAATTGCTGAACACAATTTCAGCATTACCCCCCAAGCGAGATCGCCTTCGCAATATTTAGTTATTCCTGGAGACGCC